TTCCATCTTGTTTCCCTTTGGGGTTGCTGTAGGTGATCCAGAAGTCTGTTTTTGAGACTTGTTTATGTGTCTTCTCATTTCCATGGGAGGGAGTGCTTCTGGAGCCCACATGGCTCACCTTCTCTGCCCTAGGAGCTTGGGATGGCGGTGGGGGAGCTTCCTTCCAGGTTCTGGGACTGGCTCACCTTCTCTGCCCTAGGAGCCTGGGATGGAGGTGGGGAGCTTCCTTCCGGGTGCTGGGACCGGCTGTGGTCTTTTTTCTTTTGATCAGTTCACATTTTTTCCCTTTTGCTTCCTTTCATCTTTATTGCTCAGGAGGCCCAAGTGTTGGTTCTCTGCCTTCTTGGGTCATTCTCTTGAGGAATCCATCCCATCTCATTTTTTTTTTTTGGTACCGAGGATTGAACTCAGGACCTTGCACTTGCGAGGCAGGCATGGCACCCCCACCTCATCTTTTACCTGCACCTCTACAACCAACTTGTACCTGTGACTCAGCTTTCTATGATGTACTGAGCTGCTAATTTGACTTTTATTCACTTGGTACACTAATTTTTTTTTTTAATCACGGTATTGAGCAACATCAAGTACAGCAGCCTCTTTGTTATTCCTTCTTTAGGCAGCATTGCCCTTTATTCAGAGGAGCATTGGCAATGGGTCAACTATTAATAAACCCAGTCCTAGCTCTGTGGATATTTATCTTAAACATTACTTATCATTGCTTTTTTAAAAGAAATGCACATCTATGTTTTTTGTTAGTTTTTGGAAACACAAATGACTTGGAGATACTATAGTGTAACGCCACAAAAAGTTAGAAGTCACCCTACAGTGCCTACTGTAGGACTGTCAGATGCTGTGTTAACAGAGTCTATGCTTCTTGTAAGATAACTTTGGGGTTTGGAGGAAGAAGCCAAGTATAAAATTCAACAGCATCATGTAGACATGTTGTGACATGATGCATTGTTTCATAGACTGGAAATGCCTAAGAAAGGCATTTGATAAAGGAAAGGTAACATTAAAACAACAAAATAAAATATCACTAAAGCCTAATGTGATAAGTATATGTACACACACACACACATACATGTACACATGAAAGCACACATTTTTTAAAAACATAGTTTCACTGTTTTGCCCATGTTGGTCTTAAACTCCTGAACTTAAGCAATTCTCCTGCCTCAGTCTTCTGAGTAGTAGGAACCATAGGCATGTACCATTACATCCAGCCCTGATGAAAAAAGTACTTACCTCCAAAACATCTCTACTGTTAGTAACAATATTTCTCATCACCTTTTAGTGGATTTAATACTTCTCCAGGAAGATCAGAAACCTGGGTATTCTCTTACTCTTTCCTCTAACCTCCAGAATTGGCTGACATCCTCAAGTCTATTATAGTCAGGACCCACCATTGTTTGATGGCCTCACTGGTAGCATTCTTTCTCCTCCTGGTCCTAGCTGACAAAATCACTGCAAGCCTCAGAATCAGCCACCATGGCTAAGATAAAAAAATCTGAGTTGCTCTGTAGATGGATCTCAAAAGGAAATATAGG